CAGCTGTGCCAGGGGAGGTTTAGGTTGGAGATTAGGAGGAATTTCTTTGCAGAGAGGGTGCTCAGCCATTGGAATGGGCTGCCCAGGGAAGGGGTGGATTCTCCATCCCTGGAGGTTTTTAAGAAAAAACTGGATGTGGAACTTAGTGCCATGGTCTAGTAACCACAGCAGTAGTGGATCAAGGGTTGGACTTGATCTCAGAGGTCCCTTCCAACCCAGCTGATTCTGTGATTCCTGTGCTCTGACCCCTTGCATGGGGGGCTGCCTGCCCTCCCCTCCCAGCCCTCAGCCCTCCCACACTCTGGCTTCCCTGGCTGTGCTCCAAAAGGCCCTTCAAGTGGCCTGTGCCCCTCTGCATGGCACACTCTGCCACGCTGGCACAGCCTCCCTGTGGTTGTTTTTTCCCCATGACTTACCTTCGTTGAAACTCGGAGGTGCTGAATAAAAATAAAAGGCCAGTGCTGCTCCCAGCAAGGGGATGAAAATCTTCAGGAGCAAACCCATCCCTCTGCAAAAATACAGGCAGGAGTGAGACAAACCCCACAGCTCTGGCCACTGGAGGTGGAGGTGGCTGCAGATGGGGCTGGGAAGGTTTGAGCTGGTTCTTGTCTTGCGTAAGTTTGCTGGTATCTGTTGGATCTTTTCGTTGCTCTGCCAGTGATTTAGCAAACATTAACCTAATGGAGAGTGTGGCTTTGGACTTTAGGCTGTCCCTTTACACCCTTGGCCTGCCAGGAGTTTCAGGTGTGCTTTTTGAGCATTCAAGGGAAGGCACTGAATATTTTCTCACTCCATGGAGTGGTGGGTGTGTTGTTTGGTGGTTGCTTTTGGGGCTGGGACACCTGTGTCCCCCCAGAGCAGAGGGGGGATGGATGGACATCCTTCTCCCTCCACTCCACTTCTAAAACAGAAGCAACACTTCCCTTCCTCATTGGCTGCCACAAGGATTTATTTATCAGTGGTATCACTGTGGTACAGGCTCACAGAAATATCTGGAGAGAGCAGGGCTGGCAAATTTGCCTTTTCCAATCAGTTATGATGTTTCTGGCTTATCCTCCATGATATCACCATTGGTGCAATGCTGACAGTTTG